TATATATATATATAGTCATGTAATTTTCAAGTTATATAGATGCATGCATATATATATATATATTCAATGCAAGTATAATAGCATATGTATAGAAATAAGCATTTTTTAATATTTCCCCCTTCATCCTCCTCTGTTGGCCAGGTTTCTTCTGATAGTGACACTATAGGTTGAAAATGTGTTAATTAACAACTATGAATTAATTATATTAATATACACCCCCCCCCCCCAATTTCTGATGGAGTTTGGGTCGTAACACTTTTATGACCATCTTCCACTTTGACGACCCTAAAATCTTGTGGGCCGTCACTGCTGCATACTTTATCTGAAACTGAATATTTTCAAAGTAAAGTATATAGCCATAAAATTTATGCCTCACTTTCACCTAGAATTGACATCTCCTTCATGCACAATTCTCAACACTCCATATAGTCAGCTTCAAGGATGGCTACTCTATCTGCAACATCTATAAAATTTGCAATCACTCGTTGTTGGCTATAATTTGACACTAAATGTCAGCCATCACTGTAATTGCCGATCCAGTGCTCAAATCTGAACTTTGTGCTATCTTTTAAACTGCAGCTTAAAGATTTCTGTTGTGGGAGACAGCCTAGACATTTGTGTAACATGGACGAAATCGATCATGCAGTCGTGAAGAAAAATTTGATCCTGTCAGCAGAGGAACCCTATACATAAACAAATGATACGCAACCTCAATACAGTTGCAACAATAAGTTAATAATTGCTATGGTACATGTGCCATGCCTGCCATATAAACATTAAATTACATTCACAGCTTGCACACGTAGATTTTGAGACTCCACACATAAACCACAGACTACATTTAAAGGATTGAATGTCAATGGTTATACACCCGCTATTAGTTGCTTAGGTAGTCAAATAAACTTAAAAACTACCCTGCACAATGATGCACTTAGTAATACTGCCCAGGTTTTATTACAATACTCTTAGCCATTTTTGCTGTAGGCTGGCAGAACAGTAACAAATAATATCAAAGAAGAACAAATTGGCAATCCCTATTATGAACTGCTACTGCAGTTTATGATATGTCAGTAAATGGGATGTAGCAGCAAATTCAAGATCTTACAGAATTTTTATAATACACTTTAAACCACCTGTTACTAGAAATATTATAGTTTTTTAGTTTATCCTACAAGCAGTTTTAATGAGTAATATTTCTGTTTTTATACAATATAACAATGTTTTCACTAAAACCACATCCTTAAACAAGCTTTCTTCCACTTTCTGTAGGAACTCGGCTGATGAAGATGAACCTCCTGAAGTTAAAGCTGAAAAAGACAAGGAAAGGAGACAAGCTAACAATGCAAGAGAAAGGTTTGTTTCAAGTGTTTTTCCAGCAGCAATGTCTCAGTGTACAATTAGTGAAGTTTTAGAGTGGAAAGACATTTATCATCATCATCACTCATATTTCTGAACACACTGCTAAAGTGGAGGAATTGAGTAGTAAACAGAGTCCATATTTATTAATATCATGAACTTTACTTAAAATAAGAGCCAAGATAGAATCACACTCAAATCTCTTTCTTCCACCACTAGAAATTAATGAATATATCCTTAAGAAGAAACGTTAGTAAATTTTGGAAGGAAAAACAAACTCAAATCTGTATTTAAAAATTTTTGTAATGTTATTGAATACATCTTTACAATTAAAATATGATGATCTTGGGGAGGAAAAAGAAACTCAAATGATTACTTATTAACAGTTTATTTGTTTTGATTAACTATCACCATCAGCAAAATGTGTTATTGCCAAACACATCATGCATTTCATTTGTGCTTATCCTGTAATTTTGTAATCTGCACCCATAGTGAATTGGTTACTCAAAGCTTGTGATTTATTGCTTCTGGGGATATTGTACAATTTTTTTCCCCTTCAGGCTTGTTCCAAACATGACTGTGTTTACCTGTAATGTCTTGAACTGATAGGATAGTCTGGAGTTACCTTGTTTTTTTTTTTATCCATCAGTATATTATAATTTTCTTTTGTTGAGGTCTATACTATCTTATTGTATCTACTTTGCTATATAGCCCCTGTAGTCATCTTTTAAGTTTTTCATTATTGCTACTCAGAATTCGAGTTCGAGATATCAACGAAGCCTTTAAGGAGCTTGACAGGATGTGTATGATGCACTTAAAGGGAGAAAAAGCCCAGACCAAGCTAAATGTTTTGCATCAAGCTGTGGAGGTGATTACAGCATTAGAACAACAAGTTAGGGGTAAGATATGGTCTGTTTTACTGTGTAGTGATTTGTGTATATATATAGGATTTACAAAATGTTATTACAAGACATTACAACTTTGCTCTTGGAAAGAGAGTGAAAACTTACAAAGTAAACCAACTATGTCAACATATTTCTCAGCTCACTGTTAGAATATTTCATATATTTCAAAGGTATAAAAACTTATCTATTTTTAATGATCTTAAGATATTGGAAGATGTGTAACAAAATATATTCAGATATAACTAGAGGGGCACTCAGTAGAGTGCATACCTTTGCCATGCAGCATTGATCATATTCAGCTCTCAAAAAATGCAAAAATGTGTGTATGTCCATTGTTATCAAGACTACAAGGAATAATATTCTATATATGTCCACTAAGTTTCATCAAAATCTGATCATTTTTGACTGAGTTATAGAACAAAAGAAACATGAAAAATTGGTCTCCATGTTAAAAGATAGGGATTTTCATGACCTTCCACAAACTAATCTTCTAAGTTGGGTCATTGTCCAAATCCATTCAGCTGTTTTTGAGAAATCTTGCTGACAAACACATACACACAGGGATGAAAACTTAACTTCCATCCACTTTTGGTAGTGGAGAAAAGAAAGTGACTTTCAGAATAGTTCATTTTTATTTTTTTAGAGTTTAATAAACCATTTAACATAATTTTAAGAAAAATGCTTTGTTATTATTATGTTTATAGAACGAAACCTCAATCCCAAGGCAGCCTGTTTAAAAAGAAGAGAAGAAGAAAAAACAGAAGAAGGGTCAAACATGGTAGCACACAGCCTTCCACCCCAATCTGATCTTGATCCCCTCTCTCACCAATGACTGGAATGTACATCACAGGTATTTTTCAATCAATTGATAGTCATAGTTTCAGAAATATGATGTCATTATATACATTTCAGCCAATTGATATTGTCATAGTTTCCGAAATAAACTGTGATAATACCAATAATTTTAAGTTTAGTTTTTTAGTGTACAATGCTTTAAATCATTTTAATAATTATCAGTCAATATAAATAACTGAACCAAATGAAAAACATCAGACCTCAAATACAATTAATATAGAAAATAATAATAAATCACCTAATTTATAAATATAATTACATTTTAACCAAAAACATACTAGAGATCTTATTAATGAAATTAGTTAGTTGATCACTTGACTTCAAATGTTAAGCCTCATTTGGCCAAAATGACTGCTAACAAGAATTTTGTAGATAAGACTAATTATATTATTATTGATAGCAATTTAACTGCTTTTTTCTTCCTGCCCAAAGATTACACGGTGAAAGAACACTAAGGTAACAATATCCCATGGAATCTTGGCAATAAGTGTTACAGAATTAAAGTGCTAAAAACTGGGATTTTATAATCACAGAGTACTGATACCTGAATATGTAGTTTTGTGCTTAAACAAACATTCTAAGTTAGTTGAACATTGCAGATGAGAAAGTTGTTAATAGTAAGTATGTAACCTAATGATTAATCTGCATTATAAATGTCTTCGTTTCAACTTTCCTAAAACTAAGTAGCACTTTTTTTTTTCTTCAGGTTTTATAAATTATGGACCACAGGAAGATCAGAACAAAAAAATATAATGACATATATGTACAGAACCCTTTCATATGAACTTGTTCTGCTTCTTCCACAACTGAACTCATTTGTTAAACCTATGGTTGGTATTCTAGGCATCTAACACCTTCCAACGAAGCAAGGACTTAAGCTTTAAATTTGTGTTCATTACTTCAACTGAGAGACCAATCCCATTTCTTTTATTGTGTACCAGGGAATTGTAAAGTTCTTAGTTAATAATGAGGTTAAGCTATCAGTACTAAATGGTATAAAACCCAAATGCTCATAGGTATATTTTTTTGGATGAATAAATATTAAAGGCCAAAAGTTAATTTTTAGTTTTCACGTTTTTTTTTTATTATGATTTTTTCCCCCCAATATCATATGTTGGAGTTAGAAGTTTAGTTTAAAAACGTTTATCTAACAGTAATCACATTTGGGATGATGATGTACTCATTTCAGTAATTTGTGGAGGGAGCAGATTTAAACTTTTTTCTTTTTCATTTGTAAAGTGACCAAATGTCATAAAGAATAAATCATGTTTCATACGATTGTAATTTTACACCAGGACTTAATAGTTGCTTAACTTTTTGTACATGTACTTAATTTGAACAAATGTATGCACCCTTGGTGGTGGTTTATAGTTTTTATTGGTCATTAGAATTTCATTGTTTCAATTACTCCTGTAATTTAATGTTCAGTATTAAGGTAAGTGTGTGTGTGTGTGTAAAAAAAGAAAGAAAAAAAGAACTCACTTCTGTCTCAGATTTTGCATTTACGTTTAGGTTTGATACACCTTTGGCAGCAATCAACATAGGATACAAAAACCTAAAACCAGTTATTTTGAGTAATTTTATTTATATATTGTTTGATACCCATTAATGCAAGAGGTTGTAGGAAATAAAGTATTATTCTGTGCAAGTTTATTCTTTACTTTTTTTTTTTGAGTGCATGTAGCATTTTGTTTTAAGGAAGTCAGTTTAAGTTTTTCTTGTTATTAAAAACTTGTGTTCATTTTCTGTCACAATTTAGAAAATAAGAATGCAATCAAAAGTAACTTACCTGCAAAGGTACAGATTCAGCATTTCTTATTTCTTTTTCATACACAATTTTTTTTTCTCGAACTATCCATAGTTACATTGTTTTATGTTACTCTAAAACAGAAATAAAAGGTGCCATTCCTCTGATTGTCATATTATTTTCTTATTCACATGCTCTTTCATTTTTACAAACTTGGCCAAGAAGAGAAGGCTTCTGCTACTGCAGCTAAGCATGGTCACTTATGTTTCTTTTAGCCAACATGTTCTGAACTCTCATGAGAAATACAAAATAATAAAGATTAGGCAGAGTTTCTGACTTCTTAAATATGCCTTTTAAAGTTATTATATAAATGTTAAGTGTGATTACATGGCCAAATTACTGATAATTTTTTGTTCGATTGACACAGTTCTAAAATAACATATGAAAACTATTTTTGTGAAAGGCAATCAGGTGATTTTGTAAGAAATTTATATAAAATCAAAACTTCAATTACAGGGAATAAATACTTCTAAGAGGTATAGAAGATATATGACAAGTCACTGGTTAAAGAAGATTAACCTAGAAGTATTTCCTTATTAAGATCTACGAAAAACAAGTTTATTACGTTTGTTTTTATTTACCTCAGATCTGGAAATGTTTCAACATGGCTGAATGTTTATTTATCCTTATTCAAGATTATTTTAATACTTCAAGTTTCAGAAAATATTTATTAACCATTAATGTTTTCGTTAGTGAAGAGATGATTGTTTAAAGAATCTAGAATATTATGAGAAGCCTAAACCTTTACTAATTAGCAGTTGGCACTATATTAGATAAAATTTTTTAACATACTTATTAATGTTTGATATAATTCAAGAAAACTAAAAAATTTACACACATCAATAACCTGGTTTCTTTAAACACAAGAAATTAATATAAAACACTACTCAATAATCTTGAACTGTTCTCCCCTCGGTATGATTAAATTTGTCAGTGAAAGTTATTTTCACATGCTACTTTATGTCTAAGATATTAATTTCAATGCAAACAGGCATACCACATCTAATAGTGGGCAGATATAACGCAATACCAAGAAATTGGAAGAATGGGCAGCCAAACTTGTACCACTAAATACAAAAATCACACTTCAATATGTTTAAGCTAGATTGATAGTGCGGAATATCATCAAAATTAATTTTAGTATCACAACTTCAACAAAACAAATTTTCTAAAAGTCCAGAAAATGTATTCACACAGTGTCCACATCATATGTTCAATATATCTAGGATAACTTGCTCAAATATGGCCAATGTTTTAAGAGTTAAAACCTAAAATGGTTCAAAAAACAAAATTATAAATATGTCCAAATGAGTCTTAATGTTCTCCATGGGATTGTTTAACTGAGAAAGATGTCTAAAAATAACGGATTGTACTGAACATTTATATTTTATTTCTTTAAAAAAAAAAACAACTGACACAACGTATGCTTTTCTACCTTCTTATTTTGTAATAATAACTTATTGGATAGTTATTTATTTTACTATTAAGCAAAGAAGCTTGAAACTGGATGTATTGCAGCATGAAACAAAGTTGTACAATTGTTTTATCTCTTAAAAAGTATGAAAATAATTTATTTGTATTCTAAAAACAACCTTTAGTGTTAAAAACGAAAAGTTATATTTCTCAATAGATACAAAGAGTGACCATAATTTACAAGTATTTTAACAATTGTAAAAATGATAGATAATCATTTATCACTTTTGTGAAACATGTTCACGTATTTAATGTTTTAGTCAAACTGCAGAATATAAAGTTCAATTTTATTGTACAGTGTGTAACTTTCTGGCAGAAGGAAGGCAATAATGAACACTGTAGACAATTTGTGAAAGATTCAATTTTGGTAGGTGGTACCTCTTCACTTGAATAGTATGTAGCAATTACATTGTGAGTTCCTGAAAGGAAAAACAGTTTCAGAAAACTATTAGAAAGTACAGGTAATTACTTGCAGAAACACAAACATGTAAACTATAAATACTGTATATCCACATAACACCCTTATATTAATTTCAAAATAACTTAAACTGTATATCTATATTCAGAGAAAGTTTAAAGCTGTTCAAATTGCAGTTCATGTGACCAAGTATGATGAGCTGTTTGACAACTAACAATAAATAATTCAAGTGCAGAACTAATTTTGATTATTTACAATCCACTGAACACCCTTTTGATTAATATCACTTGTAAGTCTTAATTCTTATAAAACAAGGATATGACAACCTTATTAATGAAATTAAAAATGTCTTGAGAGTAATTGCTTTTTAAAGCATGATTGAAAATATAATAAAACCATAAGGTGAGGCACTGAGGAAATAATTTTTACTGGATGCTGGCTGTTTCTTCTCATTAAAGTATTATGACTTGTTCAATTATCATAAGAATTTAAAGCACAACTTTCCATAAAAGGTGGTCTAGGTTAGACAATGGATAACGACATACACATGTACTTTCTTTAATATTAGGTTTTATTGAGAGAAAAATAAACACTTGCTAGAATGGTGTAAGACATTAAATATATTATACAGCTCACAATTTATAAATAATTTGTACTTAAAAAAAAAATCAAAAAGTATGTTATTTGATTAGATGTTCAGGTAAGGTCATGGGTGTTTATTTTAAATAATTAGTGGCTGTGAAATCAATGTTAATTTCAGGAGTTTAAAAATGACATACAAAATAAAAATTATCAACTTACATTATTATTAAGCACAGTCATTCACTACGTGGTAAACATACAGACCATAGGGGTTTTCAATTGTCATCAAGATGTATTAGTGTTACAAACAGTTATTTCTTATTCACTATTTATCACAATTATTATAATTTTAAAATAAATATGAACAAGTATTTAGTATAATTAAGATAATCTTATACCAAAAAAAAAACAGTAAATAAAAGATTCATATTGAACTTCATAAGTAGTGATAGTTTATGGTACTAGAGAGGAGCTTATCATATTATAAAATACATCTTAAAAACAAATTTTCATTAATCTAAAGACAGTATAATGCAAAATAAATTGTCTAAGCTTACTCTAGCCTGTATTTTGAGTATGTGCAAGGTAAACCAAAATCGTAACAAACAAGTGTGAATTGTGTTTATGAAATACCTGTTCCCCCATTATTGTTTTACAGTAAGTTTAAATCCTCCCAGTTTGGTGATGCAGTACCTGTCACAAGACTGGGGAAAAGTTACTATGCACTGGTAAAATTTTGACCTTTGATCCAAGACCTTCAAAAATTAATCATGTCTAGACCTTGTACTTAGTACCTGTTGTATAAACTTGGTCAATTTCATTCACCCTGTATTAAAATATGTCTATACAGTTGGGGAGGATTTTCTATCTATCATTGAACCTTTGACTGATGACTGACCTTTAAAAGTTAATCAATCTACAAATTTGTATTTAGCACCAGTTGTGTAAGATTGGTCAAAATACATCCATATAATCTTGAGATATCATCTTTACAAGATTGGTAATATGGATAGATGCAAACCAATATTCTCCACTTCACAGTGGGGACATTAAAAAAAAAAATGTATATACACTGAGTGGTCACAAGTAAATAGATACCTAATTTTTCGTCATTTAACTGATTTATGCTAACTAACATCGTGCAGTTCAGGAAACACAGAAAGGAAACAACTGAGCAGCGTCCGGGTCCATCTGAGAGG